AGCAGTTTTCAGAGTGAATTATGCTAATGCCCGTCTGGCCATATCCTATTTTTCTTTGTCACTAAGAAATGAGAACGAATGAACCATCATTCTCTGCCCAAGACCTGACTCTGTCTAATCAGCTTTTCCTGTCATTTCCTCCAGAGGCACATGCTAGTAGGACACACTACTGTACTTAAGCATCTCTTTTTTTTTTTTAATGTTTTTTATTTGACAGGCAGAGTTAGACAGTGAGAGAGAGAGACAGAGAGAAGGTCTTCCTTCCGTTGGTTCACTCCCCAAATGGCCGCAACGGCCGGAGCTGCGCCGATCCGAAGCCAGGAGCCAGGTGCTTCCTCCTGGTCTCCCATGCGGGTGCAGGGGCCCAAGCACTTGGGCCATCCTCCACTGCTTTCCCGGGCCACAGCAGAGAGCTGGCCTGGAAGAGGAGCAACCGGGACTAGAACCCGGCGCCCATATGGGATGCCGGTGCCATTTTAAATGCTTATTTGAAAGGCAGACTTACAGAGAGAGATCTTCTATCCACTGGTTCACTCCCCAGATGGCCAGAAAAGTCAGGGCTGGGCCAGGCTGAAGCCGGGAGCCTGGAACTCCATCCAGGTTCAGGGACACACGCACTTAGGCCATCTGCTGCTGCTTTCCCAGGCTCATCAGCAGGGAGCTGGATTGGAAGTGGAGCAGCCAGGACTTGAACGGGCACCAGTATGGAATGCTGGCGCTGCAGGCGGAGGCTTAACCTGCTGTATCACAACACCAGCCCCATTTTTTTTCTTAAATTATTATATAGTACTTGCCTGGTGTGGTGGCTTCCCTAAGAAATGGAAATGACCTCACTGATGCCTGGGCTTGACAGCTCTCTCTGCAGTAAATGCATTTCTCTTCTGCTCAGACCGCCCAGTGATGAATTTGGGAAAAGTCTCATGTATTTCGCCTCGGACACTTTCCCCCACGCTGCCTGTGTCGGGATCTGACCGACTTGCACATACTGCCTTTTCCTCTTCCACCCCCTTTTAATCATAAGGAGACATTCATTTCACAGCGGGTAGGGATGGGGCAGTTGCATTCTCTGAGCGGCAGTGTTAGAATGTTCTAGAACAGAGCCGTAAGGGGTCTTGCCTCCCCGTCTGCCACTGACTCCTCAGCGACTCTCAGTAGCACTAGGAGACTCTCCCCGGGGATGCGTCACCCTCTGTAGCTCGTGGATCAGAGCCGCCCTCCTCTCTCGCTGGTCACTTAGGTATATGATTAACTTTCACCTTACAGAAACCCAACTCCAGGAAAACAGAAAACGACCACCTTTCCGCACAGAGAGGGAATCTAGAGATGGGATTTTCTGGGGTGGAAACAGCCGGTCCCTAACTTACCCGTGAGATGTCCGCGGTCCCTAACAGGAAATGGGGCTGATCCTGTGAAGTCTGTCTTTGCCAAGGCTGCCGGTGAACCTGGGTGATTTGTGGTTCGCTCCCATCCTGTGAGCCCACAGTCCCCTGGTTCTGGGGGTGAGAAAGGACGGTCCCACATCATCGAGGGAGGACGGGAATCCGGGAATTCTCCACGTCCCTCCCTGACCCCTGCCCGTGTGCCAGGCCCCGAGCCTGTCCTTAAAAGAGCCTAGTGTGGTGAGCAGCCCCAGCCCGGGACAAAGGAGGAAGTTTGGGTGCATTTGCCTGCAAAGCCCATCCCCCCACCCCACCCCCACGTGCAAACCTAGCCTCTCCTTCCCAAGGAACAGTGTGGGCCTGGGGCTACCGTATTTCTTGGACCTCCCTTCCTCTGAGGAATGTGTCCTTCCGCTCGCTGGTAGAAGCTACATCCCAGGGCACAAGGGGAACCTCTCTCAGCGGCTGGGGCCACGCAGGCGACACAGTTTTTAACGCAGGCTGTCAGGTGCCCAAAGCCCTCTGAGAGCAGATCTGAGACTCCTTCGCTCTGCGCCGCTCCCCTGGCCCAGAACACACCGCGCGTGGCGGGCTACAAAGTAATTCTGTGTTGAGGGGACGCCTGGGAGGATGGCAAATCCCTTCCCAAGTCTTGACCGTTTGACCCTTATGGTCTTTCCCCATTAGACTCCACTGACAATGCCCACTGTCCCTGGGGGCCAACCTGGGAGACCCTGTCCCCTGGTCCCCCTGATTGTTTTACCCCCAGGCTCCTGTCCCCAAAGTTCCCAACAGGAACACTCTGAGGCTCCAACCCTACAAGTCCCTGGCCTGAGACCTTGGCTTTGGATTTCTGGGGTCCAGGTCACCCACCGCCACCACCAACATCCCAAATCCAAAACTGTCTTCCAGGGGAGGCCTGGATGTGCATCCCAGCTGTGTGATCTTTGCACAAATCCTGTCCTTTCTCTTGAGCCTCCGTTTACCCATGGGTGAAATGGCCCTAGAGCCGCCTCCTTCTGCAATGCTTTGAAAGCATTTCCCATCTCCCACAGCCAGCCTGGGCACCTCTGTCCTGGAGCAGATGTTGCAATCAGCTGTATTTGCAGGCACGCTAGAGAGGATGGGTTACCTGGAAAGGGGAGAAGTGAAGAAATCTCTTAGGTAAATTACGGCTCCCGCTCAAGGTTTGACACTTCTATTTTCTACCTGTCAGGGGGAAAAAAAATAACTATATCGCAGTGGTCAGTTTGGTTTCCCTTTTTCTACTCCATTAACCCAGAGAGCGAGCGAGCCGGGCAGCCTTCCGTCCTGGGAGAAGCAGGTAGCCCAGCGGATGCTGATGTGATAATTAGAGAGAACCTGGGGCCACTCCTAATGAAGCCTGGGAAATTAGCAGCGCAGGTTGTTAGATCGCCCCTGGAGAGACCTGGACACCGTCTGCCCAGAACCCGATAGAGACAGCCATCTCGGTGACAGGTGACGTGCAAAGCCCCGCGTCCACTGACAAGTTGTTCCCGGGGCTCGAAACCTGTGCGCTGATGTGCTCTGAAGCCTGCCGTGGTGGCTTGTGATTGAAATACAGAGCAGAGGCCCTGAGGAAGCAGGGTGGGGAGTGATGGTCTGGGAGATGGGGGCGGGCAGGGAGAGAGGAAGAGAGGGAGGGGACCAGCAAGGGTGCGCATCAATAAGGTGCACCCGCCTCCACCAGGCCCCAAGCCGACCTGCTCCCTGGCCGCCATGGTCGGGGGAGCGAGTGGGTTTGGAGAGGCACCTGCTTGCCAATCAATGGGTTTCCTGTCGGACCCCTGAGGGAGCTGTTCTCACAAGGGACAGTGACCAATGGAAAATCAAAGAGCTGCTTTATCTTTAGCTGGGGATGCATTTGGAAAGTTGAAAGTAGCATTGAACGTGGTTCAGGCAACCTGACAGCTGCCCCAGAGGTCTGGCTCTCAGGATTCCCAGGGCTCATCCTGGTCAGGGGGTGGTGCCTCTGGACCAGCCAAGAGCTGCCTGCCTGCTGTCTGCACAGACAGCCCAAGTCCTGCCACCCAGACCCCCTGCTGGGCTCCATGTCTCCACAATGGGCGGGTTTACGTGGACGGCCTACAGTTAGGCAGCTAGAAAAGGCAACAGGGCCAGGACTCAAACGCCCATCCGCGTGCTCCTTATGGGGTGCCAGACTGCCTCGGGAATGGGAAGGGGAGCTGTGGACTGCTCAGAGGTGTATGTGGACTGCTCAGAGGTGTGCCCTTCCCCCTGCCCACTTGGAAATGGCCCCCTGGAGTCAGAACTGAGCCTGGCAAGGCTGTCCTGGGCCACACACAGGGGCGAGGACCCAGCCTGCGCTGCTCTGCTCTGTAAATTCTGGGCTTCGCGTGACTGACTGGAGGCTTCTGGGAAATCTTCAGGTGGCAGATTAAGATGGGTGACGGACGGAAGCGTTGAGCCCCTGGCTGCAGATGGCGCCGCAGGGCCCCACGTGGTGAGCGGTTCCAGCTTTGGCTTCAGCCTGCACCTGTGGCGTCCTGTGGCCATGGGATGCCCCTCCCCCTTGCCAAGCACGATGCTGGTAGCCACGTGCCCAGCTTTTCTTCTTGGCACAGACCGAGCAAGGGGGAGAGGAAGTCGTGTGCGTGCACTGTAGGCTTTGAAAGGCGGGGTTCTCGCTTCCCTGGAGGGGGCAGGGGGTGCTTGCCCTGCTGCTGTGTGTGTGTGGCTGGGCCGATGCCCTGTGGCTGTCACGGCCACAGCTGGCGTGTGAGCGTGGAGCCCCCGGTTCCAAGCGGCAAAGCCAGTATTCAACCCCAGCCTCGCGGCCCCAGAGCTCACTCCTTTTGGCCCATCAGACCCCGACTGCCAAGAGGCTAACACACGGGGACACTCGGGACCTTCCCTCCCCCAAGATGCTTGCAGCCCCGTGTGTCTTCCAGCTGCCCTGCCCTCCGCACCAGGGGTCCCAGAAATGCACGGATTTCTCACGGGGCCCGCAGGCTGCGAAGCCCGGGGTCAGGTGTCAGGCCAGGGCAGACGGCTGCCTTCTCCTGGCATCTCCACCTGGCACAGCAGAGACAAAGCCGGCTGTCTCAGGTTGCCTCTTAGCAGGGCCGGCTCTGTGCCATCATGGCTTAAGCCACGGCCTATGATACCAGCATCCCATATGAGCACTGGCAGGAGTAGTGGCTACTCCACTTCCAATCCAGCTCCTTACTGAGGAAAGCAGCAGAAGATGGCCCCAGCACTCGGGCCCCTGGAGTCCCAGGCTCCTGGCTTCAGTCTGGCTCAGCACTGGCCATTGCAGCCATTTGGGGAGTGAACCACCGTATAGAAGCTCGCTTGCTTGCTGGCTCTCTCCCTCTCTTCCTCCCTCCCTCTCTCCCACTCTGGCTTTCAAATCAATCAGTCCTTTAAAAAGAAAAAAAGGGGGAAGAATGAGGGCTCCACCCTTCTGACCTAATGACCCCCTCCCCGAAGCCCCACCTCCTAATGCCTTCACACACTGGGGGCATTGGATTTCAACCTGTGCATTTGGGGGCGGGGTTTGGCATAAACAAGCTGTCCTTAGAGGCCCCACCCCGCCCACATCAGGCAGGTGCTAACTCCCCCTTCTGGTTCCGGCAGGAATTGCAAGCTCAGCGGCAGCAGCCTGTCCATGGCGGCTGTGGACATTCTCTACATCGACATCACCAGGAGGTGGAACTCCATGGCCCTGGACCAGCGGGACTCAGGTACCTACCTGATGGTTGCCTCCACCATTCCCTTGTGTGAGTCCCCAGAGGCACGGCGGGTTGAGGGCAGGTGGGGAGGCGGCAAGGCAGAAGGTGTGTGTGGGGGGGTACATTTTCTGGCCCTTCTTGTCATTTCCAGGGTGGACCCAAATTTAAGTTCTGGGCCGTTGCCTTCTACCAAGGCTGTGCCCACCCTCAGCCTACCCTGTCCTTGCTTAAGGCTTTGGTTCCACATCTGCTGGGGAGACTCACTCATTCATTCATTCATTCATTCATCACAAGCTGGGCCGGGCACTGGCAGACTGGTGGGCGAGCACTTGGTTCTCACCCTAACGGAATTCACTGTAGAGGCTGGAGGCAGCCGAGAAAGTGACTTCTGCGTTGTGTGCTGTGGGCTGGGACCGAGGGAAGAGCAGAGAGGCAGCGGGGGAGCCCAGGGCAGGAGGGCCGGGTCCGGGATGGGGGGCCGGAAGCCTGCTCCTGGATCCCGGAGAAGGGCGTGCATGGCAAGCCAGGGAACCGGGCGGCCGCATGCTGGCAGGGATGTTGCCAGCCTAGACACGGAGACCTGAGCGACTGCTGTGCTCGGGACCCCCGGGGATACCCACTGTCGGGCGGGAAGGGAGCCGGGGCGGAGACGGAGCTGCGGGAGCCTTGAATGCCACGGGCCGATCGCCATGAACTCTAGGTCCTGTGCGCGTGGTGAGGGATTCTGCGGGCAGAATCCACCTCTGGGTGGGTGGCTATAGCGTCTGCTCCATTTCCTCACAGTGGGTGCCAACCCTTACTGCCAATCCTACAAACCGGGAGGTCGTCTCCTGCCCGTGCACGGCGTAGTCGGCATTAAGAGTCGCCTTTCACTGATGGGGGAATTGCAGCCCAGGTGGCCGAGGTCTCCCAGCAAGCACCTTGGCTCCCTGCCTGCCGTGGTGGTGCAGGAGGTGGCGCCTTGGGGAGCAGCTCCAGCTGGCTCCTGTGAAGTCCGAGGTTGGTTGTCATACCCAGATTGCAACGGGCAGCCCGAAAAGTCACCCCTCCCTCCTCTCCAGTTCCTCCTCTGTGAACCGGCACTGACCTTACCTGCACCCCAGTTGCCCTGGGGGCCCTAGGTATCTGCAGACATGAAAGCGTGTGGGATCATCACCAGCCACGAGAGACAGTTGATCTGATCAGTGGCCACAACCTGGGGAGACTTCTGTGGGTGACCCATCCGGCAGCCGGCGCTCCCCGAGTCCCGACAGCCCCGTACCCACGTGGCTAGAACTTCCCGGACACAGAGCTGCAGCAGGCCCTCCCTGCTGGGTGCCAGCCACCAGGGAACATTGGCTGCGGGCTCCGTGTTTGGTAATGAGGCCACCAGCTGCCAGTTGGCGGCCGCCTGCTGTGTGGCGCGTGCTCCACCGGGCGGTTTGCAGGTACAAGGTTGGCTGGGATTCTCCTGCAGGTGATCTCTGTCGCACAGAGGCTAGGACACTAACCTGCCTGGCTCCCCTGCCGGGCTGCTTTCTCCTCTAATTGGTCCTGGAGCAGGGCGGGCACCAAGCTCCCTGCCCTGCCGCTCCCCTCCCTGGAACTCAAGAGCAAAACTCCGGGGAATACCCGCAGTCAGGGAGCCACCACGGTGAGCAGGTGAGCACTCCCCACGCCTCTCTGCCGCCGGCAGCTCCCAAGCGCGCCCACGTGACAGCCAAGCCGCGGCACTTTCTGCTGGGCAACAGCGCCGGATGCTGCTGGGGGGCGGGGAGGGGGGGCAGCGGAATTATTAAATATTGAAATTGATCAGGAGTAGCAGCAGGAAGCTATTTATCATGTTTTATTGCTTCTAACTCACATTACCATCTGGCCCGTTGTTAATTCTGAGTAGGCTTTCGTGTTTTGTTTGCCTCTTAAATTGCTCCCTGGAAGCGGCACCCACAGGGTGTCCACAGTTCAGGCTCCTGGCAGGTTTCTTGGGGTCTGTCGGGGTCTGACCACTCTGTTGATCAAATTCAGGAGATGAAAAAAAAATAATAACGACTTAGTTCTAGCACACACCGATGAGCGAACCCGGGAGTGGGATCCGCCTGGCGTTTCGCCCCTCACTGTGTGGAATAATAATCAGCAGCAGTAAAGGCAGCTTTGCAGTTACCTCGTACAAGGAGTCCTCCAAAAGTTCATGGAAAATGCATGTAATGGGAAAAAAATGTGTAGACTTCGAAAAAATTTTGCACGGGAAATAAATGTCTCTTTTTAATTTCGTTTTGCAATGAAGTTGCAGGAGCACCCTCATGTGTGCAAACAATCACTGCCGGTTCTCTCACCAGACCGTCCAAACAGGCAGTTCCGAGTACGGAAGGCAGGGCTTCTGGTAGAGGCTCTCCCGTTGGCAGGGTCTCTCATTCCTCCCCCGATGCCCAGGGCGAGATGCCCGCCCGCTGGACAAGATCAGCACATGTGCCCAGCACCAGCTGTGTGAAATGCCCAGGCCTCTGCCCTCTCCTGACGCCACCAGGCCTTCCTTCTGCCCTGGTGAGACTTCGGCACCCACCAAAGGGTTAACCAGGTCCCTGGTGCGGGAGGCCTTTTTGAACAAAGATGATCTGCCAGGGAGAACAGGCTACTGAAAAGAAGATGAAGAGAAATGGTGCAAAGCGTGCGATTACACACTCACAACCTCAATAGGCTTTGTTTGTTGGTTGCCTATTTTGGTTTTTGGTTTCTTAAAAATGTTTTGTTTATTTGTTTATTCATTTTATATGACAGGAAGGGAGAGAGAGAGATGGATCTCCCATTTGCTGATTCACTCCCCAAATGTCCACACCAGCCAGGGCTGGGCCAGGCAGAAGCCAGGAGCCCTGATCTCAAACAGGGTCTCCCACAGAGGTGGCAGGGACCCAGGAACTCGAGCCATTGCCTGCTGCCTCTCAGGGCGTGCATTAGCAGGAGGCTGGAATGGGAGGCAGTCAGGACTCGCACACAGGAGCTCTGGGAACCCAAGTGGCCGCTGTGTCTAATGCCCACCTTGTTTTGGTTTTTATTGGACTTCAGATGCATCGACTTGGATTCATTGTCATCCTTGGTTTGTAAGACTCTGGATTTACTTAGCTCGTTTTTTAAATTTAATAATGGAATTAATACCGACTAACTCACCACCCAAAACAAAGCTAGGGCTTGAAAAAAATCCCACGTCTAACGCGTGCTTCTCACCCAGCCCCAGCCCGCCACGCGCCCCTCCCTCCGCACACAGGAACCCTCGTCTGCATCCTGGGTCCGTCATGGCCTGAATAGGACCATCTTCCTCTCTGCTGGAATGTCAGACTACTCAGGAGCTTGATGGAACTTAGCAATGTGCAGCCTTCCACTCTCCAGCATGCCAATGTAATTGCCATTTTTTTTTTCAAAAAAAAAAGAATTAGGGATCTTAATTTCCAATTTTAGAATTTCCTGCAGAACACAGGAATCTAAATGAGGGCGTTATCAGTTATCAGCAGAAGTGGGTGCCTTAGCCCTCTCGTCGGCCAGAATCGAAGGAAGAAGCACGTTTGGCGGTGAGGACGCCATTATCCATGCAAGTTGCGCTCACACGCTCCTGCTTATCACAGAGACGCTGCTCTCGGCTCTCCGTGGGCAGAGATGAGGGTGGCATCGAGATTAGGTGGTGAAAGGCAATGTCGCTGGTATCAGCTGGGAGAGACCCGCATCGCACCTGCGGGGGCTGGGGCACCCAGGAGCCCAGCCCCGTCGGACACAAGACCAACTTCCGTTCACTTCGCAGCTAGGCATTCGGTTGTTTTAAGGGACAAGGGTCTTTCAAAAAGTTTGTGGAAAATAGAATTAAAAGACAAGTCTGTTTTGGTGCCAAAAAAAATTCTGAAATTCATGAATGGAAGGTATCTTCCATTGAGTTGGAAGAAAACCAGGGGATTCCAATTCAATCCCATCGAGGTGGCATGTACCAATGCCATCTCACTGTTCCAGGTGATCAGTTTCAGTTCACAGTTGGTCATGGTGAAGGGACTGGGAGTCAAAGGGAACACATAGACAAGTCTAGTACCTGCTAACGCTAACCGATGGAGTAAATAAAGGGGAGAGTGATCCAACATGGGAAGTGAGATACTCAGCAGACTCATAGAATGGCAGATGTCCTAAATAGCACTCTGGCCTCAGAATCAGCCCTAAAGGCATTCGGAGCTGGCTGAAAAGCTCATTAGAGTATTTCAGGCATGGAAAGCCAAGACACTCTGGCAAAAGATCTCTGCGAGTGAGATCCCAGTGGAAAGAACAGGTCATCAAAGAAGGAGGTACCTTTCTCTGAAGGGAGGAGAGAACCTCCACTTTGACTATGACCTTGTCTAAACAAGATAAGAGTCGGAGAACTCAGAGGGCTTCCATAGCCTTGGAAACTCATGACTGGAGCATAGGGAGATTACTGATGCCATAGACAGGAGTGTCAATTGGTAAAGTCAACAACAGGAGTCACTGTGCACTTACTCCTCATGTAGGATCTCTATCCTTAATGTGCTGTACATTGAGATTTAATGCTATAACGAGTACTCAAACAATATATTTCACTTTGTGTTTCTATGGGGGTGCAAACTGTTGAAATCCTTACTTAATGCATACTAAACTGATCCTCTGTAAAAAAAAAAAAAAAAAAGAAATTATCAATTCCCAACTTGACTCTCACTGGGATTAAACATGACAATAGGTCTGCTCTGATTTCATCATCATTTAAAAAAATCATCTATTATTTTTCACTTTATGTTTCTGTGTGGGAGCAAACTGTTGAAATCCATACTTAATGTATACTAAGCTGATCTTCTGTATATTAAGATAATCGAAAATGAATCATGATGTGAATGGAAGGGGAGAGGGAGTGGGAAAGGGGAGGGTTGTGGGTGGGAGGGACGGTATGGGGGGGAAGCCATTGTAATCCATAAGTCGTACTTTGGAAAATTATATGCATTAAATAAAAGTTAAAAAAAAAAAAAAAAAAGATGAAAAAAAAAAAAAAAAAAAACGTTTCTGAATGTGCAAATTATGAAAAAAAAAAAACTAGGCATGAATGTCAAAAAGATTTTGCATGAAAACAAACTTACCTTGTAATTCCTTTCTCCATGAACTTTTTGAAGTACCTCCTAAGCTAGAGGTCCCTCCTGGCGCTAATGGAAACGGGATTATAAAGGGGGAGCAAATGGACTGGAGAAGCTCCTCCCATCGGTCATCCGTGCAAGCGTGCACATGAGCACACACACACTGTTTTATTTTTTTAAAGATTTATTTATTTACTTGAGAGAGTTACACAGAGAGAGAAGGAGAGGCAGAGACAGAGAGAGAGAGAGAGAGAGAGAGAGAGAGAGAGAGGTCTTCCATCTGCTGGTTTACTCCCCAGATGGCTGCAATGGCCGAATCGGTGCTGATCCGAAGCCAGGAGCCAGGAGCTTCTTCTGGGTCTCCCATGTGGGTGCAGGGGCCCAAGGACTTGGGCCATCCTCTACTGCTTTCCCAGGCCGTAGCAGAGAGCTGGATCAGAAGTGGAGCAACTGGGTCTTGAACTGGTGCCCATATAGGATGCTGGCACTGCAGGTGGTGGCTTTACCCACTACGCCACAGAGCCGGCCCCGACACACACACTTCTTGATGAGGGAAACCTAACAGTGGCAGAGTTTAACCCTGAAATGAGGAGACTTTAAAAACATTCATGGGAATGTATCTTATGGAAACCACGCACCGCATGGCGTTGGCACACTGGTTAAAACACCGCGAAGGAAGCCCGTGTCCCATATCTGAGGGCCTGGGTTCGAGCCCCAGCTCTGCTCCCCATTCCAGCTTCCCGCTAGTGTGCACCCTGGGAGGCAGCAGGTGATGGCTCAAGTACTCGGGTCCCTGCTGCCCACCTGGGAGACCCACACTGAGATCCAGGCTCCTGGCTTTGGCTTGGCCCAGCCCTGGCTGTTGCAAATATTTGGGGAGTGAACCAATGGGTGAAAGATCTCTATCTCGATCTA